CTTTTAGAAGAGACTCCCGCCTTCCATCCCCTGGGCGGCCGCAGTGTCAAACTTTCAAAGCAGTGGAAATAACCCCAAAGTCTATCCCTGCCTACCCGGGGCCTCTTCCACCCTCCTCCAGACCCACAGGGGTCTGCATGGGCCCCAGCCTCCTCTCTCCTTCAGTGGAATTCTTCAGAAATAAAGTAACCATTCTGAGGTTACACGTGACACAATGGGCAGGATATTCTCAAGTAATTTCTTCCTAGCCATGAAAGGCTAGAGCCTTCCAGCCTGTTGAGTTTGACAGACAATCTGTCTTCATTTCTGAATGTCCCCTAAGAAGAACAAATCTGTTACACTCTGGCCAACACATTTCCAAGGAAATGAAATAATGCAATCTGACTAAAATGTCAAACTCTAATATTGAACAAAATATGGGAGTAGACACAGTGAGAGAAAGAACACCCAGGAAACTCTTCTGGCAACCCAACCCAAGAGCTGCCCTTCGCACACTGCTATGGAAAGGACAGACACTGCTGCCCTTCATGTGTATGTGATTCACGTTGGAAAAGATCACCCAGCCCAGAAAAGAGACCACTCACAGCCAGCGTGGAACATTCCCCCATCCACTGGCCTTCAAACCTGCTGAAGTGAACATTTCAGAAGGGAAATAGAGCAGAGTCAAATTTCCCAGCCATGTGAAAACAGAGAGTGAAGCTTCCAGCACCAACGGATCCTAACCCCAGCTGATGTCTGGCTCCCTTTGCTAAGCCAACACTGCCCCTCTCTCCTCGGCACCAGAGGGGGCTTCCCCAGAGTGCAGGATGGTCCCCAAAGGAGCTCTCCCTTCCCCAGCAAGCTTCAGCATGTTCTCGTTGTCCGGGGAACAGACCTGATCCAAAACCAGACATGGGGTGGTCTGAGGTTTCCCTGGCCAGGGTGGGGAGGTGTTCAATGCCTTGTGTTTTCAAGTGGGAGAAATAATAACAGAAATAGCTAATATTTATAAACAACTTCCTAAGCATCAGTCACTGACTTAAGCACTTTACATGCATTTAAAAATTTTAACTCATATGACATGGGTAATATTTTTCCCATTTGACAAGTGAGGAAACAGGCTGGTTTCTCCTTTAAAAACAAACCAAAGCTGGGGCGCCTGGATGGCTCAGGCGGTTAAGCATCCAACTCTTAATTTCCGCTCAAGTCATGATCTCAACATTCATGAGATCAAATCCCGCATCTGGCTCTGTGCTGACAGTGCAGAGACTGCTTGGGATTCTGTCTCTCCTTTTTTCCCTCTGCCCCTCCCACTCTCTCTCTCTCTCTCTCTCTCTCTCTCTCTCTCTCTCTCAGAATAAATAAATACACTTAAAAAAATAAGATAAAAAAACCCAAAACTTTCCTAGGTAACCAGTGGAATGGATGTGGCCCTTTGCGCTCAGAATGCCTTCTATTATTATCTGATAATTCCTGGTTAAATACATTCCTTCTTGGAGTGTATCTTCCATGGAAACAGGGTACTAAGCAGTGAAGAGATCAGCTTCCAAGGGCACCAAGGGTCAGATTCTGGAGGCAATGTCACCACATCAGATGTAGGTGCTCAGACATAAGTCAGCACCTGAGGTGGATTCTGCTCAGCCCCTTCTCTCTTCCCTTCCTCCACAGGCCCACAAGCAGTTGGTCGTGGTGGGGGTCCCACCCCATCCCCTCCTAGAAGCCTCTGCCCTCTCCTCTTCTTGCCTGGCTGCATCTTGGAGAGTGCTGGGGCTGGGGCTGTCTCAGTCTCCAAGGGGTTGGGTGATTTATGTCCTTTTATTCAGCAAGCAGCTTTGTACAGAACGGACGCGACATGCTGAATGTCACCAGGCGGGGGCAGGGAAGCTGTGTGGAATCCCAATGAAGCCTTTTCAGCCTGAGCAAAATGGCACTGGTGACTTTGTTACTGTGTGTTTTCTCTGGTGGGAGGAAGGAAGAGGTAGCAGACCCCGAGAGGGTGCAGGATAGCTGGCTTGGGTGGCAGGGAAACCCTCCGAACCCCAACGTCTGGCTCCCCGGCGAGTGCCTGCCCCTTCCTGGCTCTCCATCTCCTGTGGGCGCCCCACAGGAGACAAGCCAGCCGGTCAGCAACACGCACTTGGGTGAAGAGGCTCCTTTCTGTGGAGCTCTCACGTGTAGCGGCTGAGCATGCCAGGGTCTCAGCACCCGGGGCCTGCATGGCTGCAGAACAAAACATGAGGGGCTGAGGCACCCACTGGGGCAGACTGGGGCTTTGGTCTGTACTCCACTCTCCTGAAACCACAATGCCTGCTGGAGGTTCCTTGGCCCTTTGTCTCCTTTCCATACTCCTCCTCTCCTCTCTCCCCTTGACACCTGGGTCTGTAAGTTCCCCCCAGGCCACAGCCAAGCCTATTCCTCACTGCCCCCATCCCACATTCTCACGGGTGCCCAGCTCAGCCCCATTCCCAACACGGAGTAGGCACTCAACGTCTGTGGAACGAATGGAGAACTCTGGTCCCCCAGCACTGCTCTGGAGCCTGCGGGCTGCTCTGGGATGAGCCGGTAGCATGACAAAGCATGACCTAGATGTTTAGGGCAAACAATTCTGCATGATCCCAGTGTGCTACAAAGGCCCTGCGGAGTGGGAAAGACCACAGATTCGCAGGAGTCAAAGGGACCTCTGGGAGCACACAGCCTGACCCTCCCACTTTACAGGTGAGGAAACTGAGGCCCAGGGGAGGCCTCCCAGCATGCGAGGATCAGAGCCAGGGTTCAGAGCAAGCCCTCTCAGGCCTGGCTTTCTCCTGCCACCATACACTGCCCTCTCATCCAGAGCCAGATCCCCACCTCAGCTGCTAGCCGGGTCCCCAGCTCGGGCTGCAGTGCTGATCTGTCTCCAGCCCGCACACTCAGTCTCCGGGGGAGGATGGTAATCAGTTTGCACTGTGCTGTGGAGGCACCACCAGGGCTGGAGGAAAAGCATGTGTTCCTAGCATTCCAGGTCACTGTGGGCCTAGCAGGTCAGAATTTCAAGGCCAGACACACAGGGACTGGGGAAGGCAGAAGAAACAGCAGTCAGGGCCTGTGCCCCCAGAGCAGAGAGACAAAGCAGGGTCACCCAGGGGCGGGGGCAGCTGGGAAGAACTAAACGATGAGGCACAGCACCCCCCCCCCATGCCCCCTCCTAGGGAACGGAGGAGTAGAACGGGGACAATAGCCAATGAAAAGACCAGAGAGATGAGCCAGATAGGAGAAAACAAGGTGAGGAAAGAGACAAAGAAAACCTGATCTTTCTCCTCTTTCTATCATTTCCTCAGGGCATCCCCTCAGGGCCCCCTGCATAGCAGAGGTAGTGGTGGGGAGGAAGGGGAGCCCAAGGGAGAGGGAGAGGAAAGGAGGGGGAGAAGGAAACCCTGCACACTTATCAGTTTACTTTTCTTTGCAGGCACTCAGAGCATCTTAAGACCTAATGGAGGGGGGCGGGGTCGGAATGTCCAAAGCTGCCGAGAGTCAGAGGCAGGACCTGGGTTCGGTCAACTAAGGGGCATCCGGGGATTTCAAGGTCCCTCAGCTGGGTCCAAGCCCCTGCTCTTTGGACTGTACTCAGTGAAACAACTACCAGTGAATTTAGAAATGTGATAGGGATTCCAGAGGACAACTGGTCTACCCCTCATAATCCAAACCCTCCACTCTACAGGTGTGGAAATGCAGGCCCAGAGAGCAGAGACTTGTAGAAAGACACAGCACCAAAACTCCTTCATAAACAGAAGCCATGTCTCTGAGCTCCCACTCCAGGGACATGGACAACCCTGCCAGTCAGCCCATGCTCCCAAACCCTTGAGCAGGAGCCCCCTGCCCCCATGTAGCAGGCCCTTGCTGTTCTGAGAGCAAGTACAAAGGAAAGAGGTCTCTCAGGAACACTTCTGAGGAAACACTTCTGCTGACTACCCAAGAGAGAGGGGGGAAGTGGGGCGGCGGTGGGGGGGGGGGCTTCTTACAG